AGCTCATGTTCCACTGTTGAATCCATATACCTGACTTTGGATGATTTTTTCTTAAGTTTTTCTGGTTTATGGGCCTTCTTCTCCTGTGGTTTCTCATGGCACCTTCTGCTAATGTGTCCTTGCTTCTGACAGATATGACATATGCTTTTCTTGTAATAGCAATTGTCACTGTTGTGGTTTTTCTTTCCACAGCGCCAACATTCACGGTTATCCCGAGACATCGATCCAACTTGCTTATCTGAATACTTCCGGTTCTTGTCAGACTTCACTAGTACATTCACTTTATGACTAAACTCATTGGTCTCCTTATTGGCAGCTTCCATACTCAAAGATATTTCCATTGATTTCTTTAAGTTCAAATCCTTCTCAGCAAGCAATCTACGCTGCATAGCTGCTGAAGCGAGTCCACACACAAACATGTCTCTCATTGCATCATCAAGAAATCCACCAAAATCGCAATGTTCACTCAGTTTGCCTAGCTCAGCCATAAATGCACTCACTGATTCACCAGAGCGTTGTTTCGATAACTAATGGTTTGGAATTCACATGGCTTTTAACGACATCAACCAAATCTGCATATGACTTGTCAGCGGGTTTTGCCGGTGAGACTAAAGTCCTCATGAGGGAGTAGGTTTCCTTACCTACTACGGTAAGCAATATCGCTTTCCTCTTCCCGGCATCTTCAACATCATTAGCGACGAAATACTGATTAAGTCTTTCAATATACTCAACCCAGTCTGCATTTTCAGACACTGAAAATTCCTCCATTCGACCATAGGTCGAGGACGCCATTTTTAACAGCACAGCGCACACTACAACAAGCGCTATCAGTCCCATTAACACAGAGCGAATGTTCGTCACCAACTTACAGATTGGTCTTCTTGGTACCACACATGTAGAATCCCATCCTCGTCGCCAAAATTGTAGTGTTCTTTCAATAACCAAGAGACAACCTGCCAACTTCCCACTTCGTTTATTTCTCAGACGACAAGTGACAATCGGTAGCCAAGCCCGAGCACGTATTGCACGTGCGTTACGTAACAACGTTTTCCGAACCACTGATTACATTACATGAACGACTTCTGTTTACCATCAGAATTTATCAAACAAAACCCTAATATTTTACAGCCATCTTATCTGTTTGATGGGAAAGGTTCAGCCAAACCTAAGAACAAAAACTCTTTCGACTACTATGATACCAAAACTGAGAACGATACCGATATATGTTCTTGGTCTTTGAAAACTCAAGTGTCAGCATGTGGCCATGTTCAATTTAATTTGCCTCATAGAGTTGTGTTTTGTTATGATGCACTACAATTCCTGCAGTGAACAGGTATTAGGAAAATTCTGATGTGTACATTATGGAAATTAACGAATTTTTTACCAACCTTTTTTTGAATAGTCAACAGTAGAATAGTCTCAGAGCCAAATTCCAATAGAAGTCAAGCATTTTAATTTTAATAACGTAGCACACCAAATGTCTTATTTAATAGGCCCATGTTTCTTATTCGGGTCTGTGCTCATTTTCGTTCAGTAAATGAATCATAAATGAAATATATTTATTTGTTATTTTAATTTTATTGACTCTCGGGTAATATTTTGGACCTCTTGTGGCCATATCGTACTTTGAGAAATTCAATATGGCTACCAAGGATGAAAACACAACAAGACACGAGTCGGAAGTGTCATCAAGTGCAACAGCCTCAACACCAGACTGTATGGAACATCAACGACAGTGAGAGGTATTACATATAGTCTATGTTTAGAGCTGTTTTCTGTCGGGGGTGAGTGAATTGGGGTTAACGCCATTGAGTCCAGTCGACCGGGAATATGCTCGGAACAAGGGTGCAAACCAATAAAATATTGAAGGATCTCGTAATGAGTCCAAAACATACACATTCTGTATCAACTTGTGGGCAGTCTTTGAAGCAAAAACAACTCGGCCACCAAACAGCAAAAACTCGCCACCAACCAAACATATATACTACCGACAGAAAAGGGAACTGATGACATGACAGTAAAGGTATAATGGCGATAAACAAATTTAAAACAAAAACTCAAACACCCGACCCGATCTGATTAACAACATCTTAAAACTAATATCAGAATTAAAATCAGATGATAAACCAGTTAATCTACTATGGATGCCTAGTCACTCAAACACACCAGGTAACGACAGAGCAGACAGCAGCTAAACTAACAACAACAAACCCATCATCCGAACTGAATTTTCAAAGGTCGAGATGAAATCAAACATTGCATCAAAATTTAAAATTTCAAAACTCTCATTCAATATTCTAGCTCAAAATTGATCAGAACACTATTTACTAAACCCATAAATATGTGACACAGTTTCAACCTTTGGAACTTTCATGATAAATTAATATCCCGTATCATTAGTGGCAACGCAAGACTACATTACATACTGTATAGCCCAAATAGACACATTAATAGTAACTGCAGCCACTGCTACTCACCTTAACCGTAACCATGTTTTTAACAACTGGCCTTTCTATAGCACCTTCATACACAACTATATCATTCTATTCCTTCTCACTATAAAAACAATATCTCTCTACTCTTTCAAACCTTCCACTAATCATCAACGCAATCATACAATTTATTCATAACACTAAGCTCACAGAATTGTTTAAGGACATCCCTAACAAACGCCGCTTTAAACCTTTCTAAAAAAACAAACTTTTCTCATTTAGGATCGGGGTCGACAATTCCAGCGCGGATTGTCTTCTACGGCGTTTGCGCGCCAAATCGCTCACTTCCATTCTCCAAACGAGAACCTCAATCACCCAGAGCAGCCGCTAATGTCTTGGCCATCCAAACAAAGCCAACTCACTAGCACCAACAACCGCTTTACCTCGCATCCCCGACCCCCACAGCTCAACTTTTCTTGACTTACAATTATCTCGAGCATTTTAGTAGGCGAGTACTAACTCTGTACTCTACCTCTATCATATATATCACCTATTATACAGAGGATTAGTTTTTATAGTTTAAAGACTATGCGTGTTACTTTCAGACGCATTTTAATACATGTGTCGACACCCGCATTAACTTGATGACATGCACATACAATCCTTAGAATTTCATTTTCTCAGTCACTTTCAAAGTCACACGAACAGTGAGTGAATGAGTGACGTCATATTCTAAAAGGGCTCAACTCTAGTCCCATGATCATTGGAACTCTGATTCAGTCGACATGGACTCAAACAATAATACACCAAACTTTACACAAGGACACCGGAAGTATATGTCAGGTAGACCATTTTCCATCACAAAGCAGGCTTTTGATCTTAATGTGCGTCTCACCTGCACTTACATTGGTCCGACAGAAACACGTTTATCGTGTTAATTAATATTCAAGTATATTTGTATTTCAAATTTATAACCAAAGTCTAATTTTCACTGGTACGAGTTAAATGAGAAATATGAGGAAAGTATTAGTTTCATTTTGCCAAACCTTTTCAAAGCCCAGCATTTCCCATCCGACCGAGTGGTTCAATGGTACATTATGCATACAACCTTTGTGAAGTACACATGGATTTACACCGTGTAGCATTTCTAGAGGTACTTTCGTCTTATTGTTGCATATATTGGCTCGATCACGTGTTTGGGAATATTCATGGGAAGAGTATCGTTGCACTACTAACAACGCGTTGGTCTGACGTTGATTAATGAATAATTTGCATACTCGTATATGCAAGGGGCCGACGTATGGTTCTCAGTAGGAAGTGACAACTTGGAGACGATGGCTAGCGGTATATACAGTTTTACTTTATACATGTAGATATAGACATACAAAAGACACTATGTGCCAGGTCAGCACATAGTGGTAGTGGTTGTTGTCTAGGTGCCCCGGAGCACCCTGTCCCTGTACCCTAGCTAGGCTAAGGGTAAGACCTTTCTTTACTCATTCTCAATCTCTCTGGACCAGAGCTTACATAGCCAAGGTCACCTGACATTTAGTGAGTAATAAATATAAATGTAAACAGTAATTCATCAGTGGCATACTTGCCCATCTCGTTCAGGATGGCAGAAGGTCGATGTACACAAAAATGGGGATTAACTATTAGGATTAGCATCTTATAAATAACAGCAATTAAGTGTTTCAAGGCATAAAGATGTCATGGCTCCAGGGTAATGAGCCTTTGCAATTAAATGTTCTTCTGACAATTGGTGTCGCATATCAGTCGGTATGACACTACTTGTGGAATTTCAAATATATACATCACAATGATGTGGTAAATGCAACAGAAACCGTACAAGTTTCCGTCCTGTGTGACGCCACGACTAACGCTAAATCACGCAAAACGACTAACTTATTCTCTTTGTTACAGTGGAAAACATGGAAAACAAATAACAGTACGCAGATTGTCAGAATGTTTCCGTCACATTTATGTATATACGATCCATGAATCAACGAAAAATAAAATCCGTCTCTGGAAATCCCGCGTACTGTTGTCAGTGAACACGCCATTTTGTAAAAGTCGGTCACCGTGATGTCATAGTAAACATTGTTGTACATAATTCGTAATTTCGTTGAGGCTTAAACTTTTACCTCGGCATCCAGTGTGTTCTGTTTTTGTCTTGTTTGTATGTTCATCATCGCCTTATCCACAGATATGGCGGTAACCTTTTTGTGTAGGGTCACATTATTTGAGTTGTAAGCAATACATAGGATGACGTCACTTATGACAGTGGTGCTATGTAATAATGCGCTACTGCGATCATGGGAATAGACTAAATACATCGATTCGATGCAAAAAGGTGCGATTTTAGGGCGTTACGAAACAGAGTGTGTAGTGCACTCGTGTCTGCCAGATACCATTGATGTTACAACTCGTTGTTTCAAAGCGTATCCAACGAACTGAGATCATTGGTATCTGACAGACACTCGTGTAGTTATCTCTACGTCTATGCCAAGATCCTGCATGATGAAGAGAGAATGCACATAGCTTATTGACACAACGTAATATAAAACTACTTTATTCAGAAGTATGCATACATGTGGAGTTACACACAATGAATATTGTATTCATTTTATCAGTAACGAAATCTAAAGATGGATTAAAAACATCGACCAGACTGTACAAATAGCCATAAAAATTTGCCTTTTTTTCAATGTAATTATAATCCTCGGTGAAATGATAAATATGTCGTTTGTCCACTTAAAGTTCCACACATCAGTGTACATAGTGAACATTTGAATCGCGGGAACAAGCACTGTCGAACTGGTTTCGCACTGAAGGTTTTCATATGCTTCCTTTACATTTTTGTTGATGTCTCATCATGTTCCCTGACTGCGTGAAACATCGACCGCAAACTCCACAGGCATATGGCTTCTCACCTGTATGAAGACGACAGTGCTTTATGTACGTGGAGCAGTCGGTGAAAGATCGATCGCAGTCTTTGCATACATATGGTCGAACTCCAGTATGGATGCGCATGTGCGTATGCAGCGACGATCGTTGCGAGTATGTCTTATCACACCTAGTACATGGAAACGCCTTTACTTTGTCCGACTTGACGCGTGTTTGTTTAACTTCCGTAGACCTTCTTGATGGGATCTTTTCTGTCGTTGCCTGGACACAGGCGTTGTGGTTTGGCGATTCCTGCAGGACCTTTGAGTGTTTTGGGTCGCGTTTCCAAATTCGTTTTTGGGCAATGATTGGTATCGATATATGTCCTTGTTTCGTTTGACCCTCTTTGCCTGCGTCCTTCTTCAAACGTTTCTGTTTACTGTCTTTCTTAGGGGTGTTCGCCTTTCTCTTCTTCGTAATGGACAAGTCAATAGCCTCTGTCTGCACGGACATTGGAATGTTCTCTCTTGATATAGTGGGGTGTTTCTTCGTGTTCTTGGTCTTGCCTGTAGACCCCAGGGGCGTGAAGGGCATGATGGATGGTATCGTCCCTGGTGCTGGGTTGTACACGTTCCACGACTGACAATACATCGGAATTGGGAACCGGTTGTAGTCAGAACTATAGTCGCTACTAGACTTGTCCGGACTTGGGACAAAGGTGGGCTTGGGTTGGACATCTGGTGTCACTGCCCACATGACATCTCTGTCGGTGTTCATGAATTTCACTGGAGAGTCCACTTCTTGTTTTACATTCACTGCAAAGTCTATCTCTATGGAAGGGTTGGTTATTGTGGTTGTCCTGACAGAGCTGAAAGGGGAATCACATGTAGACGTCGTTGAAGATGAAATGTCCTCTGGTTCAATCTTGATCTCTATGTCACAGTCTGGCAAGCCATGGCTTGATTTCTCGTCACAAAAAGACGGCAGAAGTGTTGAAACACTCTTCTGTGAATCATCATCGAGTGAAATCACCGGTGTTACACCCGAGGATGATACTTCTGGGGTTTGGATCGCACTTTCGAAACTATCGGAAGAACCGGCGTCGGACGCGGGAGACCTTGGTCTTGGGGAAGGCTTGGATCGGGTCGATTCAGGAGAAACTTGGATATTCTTGGATCGTTCGGATGATGTTGGTGAACCGCAGGAGAGCCTTGACTTGGAGTCGGATGTCAAAGAAGACGAGTATCCTTCATCAGATTGAGTTCTCGTGAAGAATGGAAACTGTTCGTCCTGGTCGTTATATGTTGCAGATCGTCTTCTGTCACCCTGTGGCGAGGTCGTGAAGGGCTGGAAGAGCGGGAATGGTAGCAGAGATCTTGGGCTTGAGTCCGGACTCCTGCTTTGTCTCCGACTCGACCCCATTCGGTGGTGAAGGAGCTGACTCATTACCATTGCGCTGGAATTAAAATCAATTGGAATTATAAATTATGGCACTTCGAACACTGCAGTTCTGTTAAATATATTAGAAAGAAAGAACTATATATAGAGAAATAATTCAAACATCAGAAACCCGTGTGGTCTACTACGTGATATGCACCAATAGATATTTGCGGGAATAGACTGATGGTGTACTCACTTGTGCTGAAAGACACAGAACGACTGGTAATGCTGGTTCAACACCTGACTCAGTTGGGAAGACAATACGGGTATTGGAGCTCGGGAAGTGGGCACACCTGGAGAAACATGAAGATTCAGAAGTATGACTGCGTGTTTACCTGATAGTTTTACGTTTATTCAAAGCTTCCAAGTCACACACGTTATATAGGTAGAAGACCTGACATGGACCTTCGTTATACTTCTATTTCTGTTTTTTTATTACCTTCTGAAGAAATGCATATTTGAATTACAACACAAATAGTTTTTATAGTTTATTGACTTTGTTTACATATATACAAATCACAAATCGAAATCATTTGTGTCGTACACATCCACGTATACATCGAGCAGTAACAGTTTGTTTAAATGAAGACCTGTAATCGATAAACTCAGCACAGAATTCCGCAACTATCTATATTTTACGGGTGCATCTGTGGTATCGAAGTGTTGTTGAATGACACTCGGTTCGGCAACTGGATCCATAAACAAAAAAAACCGACTGACACGAGCACAGTATTACGAAGCAACAGAATAGCTGTACTCACCAAGCATGAAATTTCTCCCGTGAGGAACTCCTTGCGACATAGTCCTGTGTGTTACTGTACCTATGAGTCCGATCGCCGCACATTTATACAGACATAGATAGGTGTTGTCTTAGACATGTTTGCATAGAGTGACAAGCATGAAATCCACAACGATCATTGGGGCTTCAGATGTCCGTGTAACAGTTGAAACAACGCATGGTAAGCACACAAGGGGTGTGTGAATCCGCTCTTGACTGGTAGACACACGTCTGCAAAAACACCCTGACACGTCGGAACAAAATAAAGACTCAGTTTTATTCAGGCTTCTGTTAATCCTGGAAACTGGTTTCACTCTAATCGGATTACAGAGGAAGGGGAGAGGATTGCTAATTGTCGCCGTAATTGTTTTAGGTAGAGTTTGGCAAGGTGTTAGCTTATCCCATTGTTTGTTTCAGCGTCCAGCTTGGCAGTTAACAATAGACTGTTGTTATTACAGATGATACAAACTTAAACCACAATGTCGGGCTTCGAATAAAGACTTCTCAGCCCGGCTGATGAATGACGCTGGCATCTTCATTGTTTTAATACTACGTTGCGGCAATCAGCTGGTGCGAAGCAGCCTCAGATACGCCATGTTATTTCATGTTTATGTTTTAGGATGTATTTCTACCCAGCTCCCTTAGTTCTCCTCCCCAATCCCATCGGCATCTATTCCAAATCTCAAAATTCCCAAATTCTATATAAGCAACCCCTAAAACCCCCCTCTTGGGTTGCACAGACCACCTTCGCCCCTTTCGGAAACACATTAAATGGCTTGGCCGGGCTCGTGTGCGAAATACGCATCAGTCGGAAAGCGCACGTTAAATCTCCAAAGTAAGTAAGTAAGGATGTATTTCTTGTATATCTCTTGTGATGAACGTCTTAACTTGTTGGCTCTGATGATGCCAATAAACACAACACAAATTTTTAACTCGTCACGTAAAATATTTGAACCTATTAATCTATTTTTACGCTTGGCTCTCCGATGTGTCTGTAACTGTAACACGAGGACATATTGCATCGCCAGAAATGAGATGTTTAAACCTATGAGTATCAATGTTAGACATGATATAAACTGCCGCTTGGCTTGTGACTGAGTTCGACTAAAGAGAATGAGTGCACAGTGGATAACCGTTTCATATAAACCAGGTTTGAAATAGTGTCTGCATATTATTTAAGGCGCAAATGGCCCATAACCACATTCTTCTGGCCAGTGTATACCTGTATATAGCTCCCGTATAGGGTAATGTAAAAATTACACCCATGTGCATGTGATGGTGACAATGTATACTATTTAATTCATTGCACTTATTTCACGATGGAGTGCATGTGATGAATAATGTTTAATATTTATATTTTTTTAGAATTTAAAGTGTGAAAGTATTACTTCACTAAATCAAACGATACATTTGAAATACTAACTTGTTAATGTTACTGCAGCAACGAAAGTGTAGGAGAGATTTAAATCTGGTAGGAATGCATAAAATAAAGAACAATAACCGGGCCACCTACTTTAACGGTCGCCTCCGTGGTGTAGTGGATAGGGCGTCTGCCCGGAGAGCTGAAGGTGGGTGGTTCCCTGGCTCTGTCATTAGGGGGATGACACAAGGACGTGTCATCGTGTCCTCAGTGGGCTAGCACTATAAAACCGGACTAGTTCTATATTGCATACATTACCAGCAACACAAAACAACAACACTCCAATCCACACTAAATTGCAACAATCAAATGACACTAAATATAAATATTGTCAAATATTGACACTAGCAACTGTACTGAACCCCTAAATGACTTACATTCCTTTAAAGCACTAGGCATATATCTAATCAAAACAGGCCTACTAGGCCGCATTTAAAAATAAAAGTACAACAAACAAGCTGCCAATAAACCCTAAAATTCTAAACCTATAACCTATAACCACCACTCCACCTTTTGCATGGCATATTTCAAAATTCCAAAATTGTTCTCCAAATTAAGTAAGCCACCCTAAAGAGCCCCACCTAGGTTGCCTCACCTTTTCGGACATACCCTTTTCGACCAAACACTAAATGGCGCGAAATACGCCTATGTCGGAAAGCGCACGTTCAAATTCATAATTTAAGTAAGTAAGTAAGGACTAGTACAATCAGCGACACACACGTGCATGCACTTAGTGGAATAATATTGACGTAAAACCTCTTTTCACCACGCATAATCTCATATTTAACTATAGGAAATATCCTATTTCAAATGCAATCATATTTCAAACACTTAAACCTACATATTATATGAGTGATAAGTCTGATAAGATCTTTACCTGAGTGCATTTTGAAAACATCGTTTTGTAATAGAATAATGTTTTGTTTAAGGAGAATGTCCAACCGTGACAGGTGACAATAACGACATTGATTGAAGCGCTCCAGAAATACCACGTAGTAGGCGCTCGCCTGCATATTGTTTGTCGATGGCAAAGCCATCTCGTGTTTGAACGTGGCATGTGAGTCAGTGAATGATGCTTTTATTAAACCACAATCAGCAATACTCAAACTTTATATCATAGCGTGCATATGATCGAGTCTGGATTAGGCAAACCAATGGTTGATAGTATGAACAACGATGTTCGCACATTCTGAAATCACAGTAAGAGCGGGCATAACTCTGCGAACACACAGTCAGACAGGCCTCAAATATGACCACACTGTCAGACAGGCCTCACGTTGTGACCACACTGTCAGACAGGCCTCATGTTGTGAACACACAGTCAGACAGGCCTCACACTGCGACCACACAGTCAGACAGGCCTCACACCGCGACCACACACAGTCAGACAGGCATCGCATTAGGACCACACAGTCAGACAGGCATCACACTGCGACCACACAGTCAGGCTAGCATCACACTACGATCACACAGTCAGACAGGCATCACATTGTGACCACACAGTCAGACAGGCCTCACACTAAGACCACACATTCAGACAGGCCTCACGTTGTGTCCACACTGCCAAACAGGCCTCACATTGTGACCACACAGTCAGACATGCCTCACACTACGAGCACACAGTCAGACAGGCATCACATTGTGACCATAGAGTCAGACAAGCATCACACTGCGACCACACACTGACACAGGTCTCACATTGTGACCACACAGTCAGACAGGCCTCACACTATGACAACACAGTCAGATAGGTCTCATATTGTGACCACGCAGTCAGACAGGCCTCACATTGTGACCAAACAGTCAGACAAGCATCACACTGCAACCACACACTCTCACAGGCCTCACATTGTGACCACACAGTCAGACAGGCCTCACACTACGACAACACAGTCAGAAAGGCATCACACTACGACCACACAGTCAGACAAGCATCACATTGTGACCACACAGTGAGACAGGCATCACACTACGACCACACAGTCAGACAGGCATCGCACTCCGACCACACAGTCAGACAGGCATCACACTGTGACCACACAGTCAGGCAAGCATCACACTGTGACGACACAGTCAGGCAAGCATCACACTGCGATCACACAGTCAGACGGGCCTCGCACTGTGACCACACAGTCAGACAGGTACCACATTGTGACAACACAGTCAGACAGGCATCACACTACGACCACACAGTCAGACAGGCCTCACGTTGTCACCACACAGTCAGACAGGCATCACATTGTGACCGTACACTCAGACAGGCATTACACTGCGACCACACAGTTAGACAGGCATCACACTACGATCACAAAGTAAGAAAGGCATCACACTGCGACCACACTGTCAGACAGGCCTCACGTTGTGACCACACAGTCAGACAGGCCTCACACTGCGACCAAACATTCAGACAGGCTTCACGTTGTGACCACACAGTCAGACAGGCATCACACTGCTACCACACATTCAGACAGGCTTCACGTTGTGACTACACAGTCAGACAGGTACTACTTTGTAACCACACAGTCAGACAGACAGCACATTGTCACAGCCCAGTGAGTCAGGCCTTACACTGCGATCACACAGTTAGACAGGCATCACACTACGATCACAAAGTAAGACAGGCATCACACTGCGACCACACAGTCAGACAGGCATCACACTACGACCACACAGTCAGACAGGCATCACACTGCGACCACACAGTCAGACAGGCCTTATATTGTGACCACACAGACAGGCAAGCATCACACTACGACCACACTGTCAGACAGGCCTCATATTGTGACCACACAGTCAGACAGGCATCACACTACGACCACACAGTCAGACATACATCACACTACAACCACACAGTCAGACAGGCCTCATATTGTGACCACACAGTCAGACAGGCATCACACTACGACCACACAGTCAGACAGACATCACACTACAACCACACAGTCAGACAGGCCTCATATTGTGACCACACAGTCAGACAGGATTCACACTGTGATCACACAGTCACACAGGCATCACACTGCGACCACACAATCAGACAGGCCTCACGTTGTGACCACACAGTCAGACAGGCCTCACACTGCGACCACACAGTCAGACAGGTCTCACACTGCGACCACACAGTCAGACAGGCCTGGTATTGTGACCACACAGTCAGAGAGTCATCACACTACGACCACACAGTCAGACGGGCATCACACTACGATCACACAGTCAGACGGGCATCACACTACGATCACACAGTCAGACAGGCTTCACACTGCGACCACACAGTCAGACAAGCATCATACTACGACCACACAGCCAGACAGGCTTCACACTGCGTCCACACAGTCAGGCAAGCATCACACTACGACCACACAGTCAGACAGGCATCACACTACGACCACACAGTCAGACCGAAATCACACTACAACCACACAGTCAGACAGGCCTCATATTGTGACCACACAGTCAGGCAAGCATCACACTACGACCACACAGTCAAACAGGCCTCACGTTGTGACCACACAGTCAGACAGGCATCACACTGCGACCACAGAGTCAGACAGACATCACACTACAACCACACAGTCAGACAGGCCTCATATTGTGACCACACAGTCAGACAGGCATCACACTGCGACCACAGAGTCAGACAGACATCACACTACAACCACACAGTCAGACAGGCCTCATATTGTGACCACACAGTCAGACAGGCATCACACTGCGACCACAGAGTCAGACAGACATCACACTGCGACCACACAGCCATACAGACATCACGTTTTGACAACACTGTCGACAGGCCTCACGATGCGACCACACAGTCAGACAGGCATTACATTGTGACCACAGAGTCAGACAGCCATCACACTGCGACCACACAATCAGACAGGCCTCACGTTGTGACCACACAGTCAGACAGCCATCACACTGCGACCACAGAGTCAGACAGGCATCACATTGTGACCACACATTCAGACAGGCATCACACTGCGGCCACAGAGTCAGACAGGCATCACATTGTGACCACAGAGTCAGACAGGCATCACATTGTGACCACAGAGTCAGACAGGCATCATACTGCGACCACACAATCAGACAGGCCTCACGTTGTGACCACACAGTCAGACAGCCATCACACTGCGACCACAGAGTCAGACAGGCTTCACATTGTGACCACACAGTCAGACAGGCCTCACACTGCGACCACACAATCAGACAGGCCTCACGTTTAGACCACACAGTCAGACAGGCACTACTTTGTAACCACACAGTCAGTCAGGCCTCATATTGTGACCACACAGTCAGAAATGCCTCATATTGTCAGACAATACAGTCAGACAGGCATCACACTGCGATCACACAGTCAGACAGGCATCACGCTACGATCACACAGTCAGACAGGCCTCACACTGCGAACACACAGTCAGGCAAGCATCACACTACGACCACACAGTAAGACAGGCATCACACTGTGACCACACTTTCAGGCAAGCATCACTTTGTAACCACACAGTCAGACAGGCCTCACGTTGTGACCTCACAGTCAGACAGGCCTCACACTGCGAACACACAGTCAGACAGGCATCACATTGTGACCACACAGTAAGACAGGCATCACACTACGACCACACAGTAAGACAGGCATCACACTACGAACACACAGTCAGACAGGCATCACACTGCGACCACACAGTAAGACAGACATCACACTGCGACCACACAGTGATCATTGTTTTGGCGTAGTAGGGAATTCTTCTGCCCTGGAATGCCAATGGGAGTAAACTGTGTTCTGACTAACGGTCGGTCAAATAGTGATAGAGGACAGCGTTGGCCTGCCTGGACACATTCTGTTTATTTGCACTGTAAATAGTTATGCATATATGTGTGACATTAAGGGAATTAATCAACTCACGTATTCGTATGGCTGAATTATGCCAGTCCAGGCGCAGATTTGTTGTTGTTTGTTGTTTAACGCCGCCCTCGTGACGGCGGGCTGTAAATAATCGAACATGGAACAGACAATTCAGTGATTGACATAATGAGCATGGATCTATGCAATTGGGATACGATGACATGCATCAACCAAGTCAGCGAGCCTGACCACCCGATCCCGTTAATCGCCTCTTACGACAAGCATGGGTTGCTGAAGTCCTATTCTCTACCCGATTCTTCACGGGTCCCAGGCGCTGGTTTGAGAAACAACAAAAACAAGTCCCGTTATTTCAAATCCTCTAATCTCTAACTACAGGTCATCACAGGGGATGCCTTCCAGTTGTGTGTGAATGGTCAACTATTGATTATTTAATGCGTCTCACCAGAGATATAACGCTACCTTTCCTCTCACACTGTATGATGCACATTCTGTTGGTTTTTGGGTGTTTCTTTTGCAGGACAGGAAAATCTTTATGTTTTTTGTGTATGACGTTTATTTTTGCAATTTCAACTTGTTTTCTGTCGTGTGATAATAAACAGTTGGCTACTTAGATCTCACGACTTGTCATATTTCTTTTAAAAAACACTCCATCCAATGTTTCGCTAATTAGTTTCTTAATAATTATTGCTTATGTATTATGCGAATGATTACGACACATATGATGTCTCTTGATATATTGAGTGTGCTTACAAATGTTTCAAGTCATGTCCCCATTCCCGAAACATCTGCTACGTTGGGCGTCATAATGGCGATGAACTATTATGTATTCTTTTTGACAGCAAGTACTTATCGTGCCTGCCAATGTAGGTCTGGAAGTATTAGGGCAACATCTGGACTATCTGTTGTAACGGCAATCTTCTTCAAGATCTTGATGACCTCTTGTTCCGTTCATAACCTGAATACAAATACCGAATACAAACTTGGTTATCACGCTGAGGTCACGGAGAGTAGGTGGATGGATCACTCCTGAGAGTTTCATGCACATGTTACACGTCATTGTTATATACAGATTAAAATGAACAAATGCTACAAAAAGGGTTTGGGTGATCCTGACACAGTCAGTCAGGTTAAGGTCATCATCAGCTCAGGGCCCTTGCCCCCTCTACACGCAGCCCAGACAGCGAATGGTACTTCTCCCAGGAAGCGCTGCCTAGTCAAACCCACCCAGAACTTTTCGGAGAATGTGAAGATTCCCCAACACTGCAGCCTTCTGCATTACCCAGATTGTCAGAAGGATTGTATTCCTGGTAGCTTACCCGGGTCCTCTCCCGATGTCAGTCGACAGAACAATGGTGAGTCGGACAAGTTGGTACTTGGGATGCAAGCGTGACATTTCTAAAGCGAGGTCCGCATATTTGCGATGTTTTTCCTGATTCTTGTCAATCACATTAGTGTCATAAGGGACAGAAAATTAAAAGATACAAAGGTTTCATTGGATTTATCAAAAAGGACCAGATCAGGTTTGTTGGCCTGGATACGCCTGAGGCTGTGTACGGGCCTATTCCAAAGAATTTTGAATGTATCATTTTTCCATGATGCCCTCGACATATTCTGGGTCAAACCATGGATGGACCTAAAAGCCACAAGCATGGCGTAGGTGGCAATAAAAGGATCGAGCCACTCCATCATGTCGCTTAAGATACTGTGTTTGTGCCAAAGCTAGGCATCCACTGACAATGTTTTGGACAGTCTCGTTAAATTCATTACATAATCTACATTTCTTCATACTCTGCTGTTCTTCCTAACACAGTGAACATAAACTCAATGCAGTGGTCGTTCAGATAGCCTCTCCTTGAAAAAATGGGTCTGGGCCGATTTGATATGGCACTTCGCTTGGTTGACACTCATTTCTGTATCGTCCAGCAGTACAGAACCATCAACAAAATTAATATTGACATTGAGATTATGTCCCACATCCTTGGCTCTTTTAAGAAAACTGTGGAATACCTTGTTTTCATCATGAGTATTGACATGCTTCACTACAATTCTATCATGGAGAGCCTCCACGTTAATGAAACCACGCCCTCCCATTATACGAGTGCACTTATATATACTATACTATTCAGACATACATACACACACAATCACACATTCATGCAAACAAAACTATAGAAAGTACTCACGTACAAAATGATACAGCACAGACTGTCCGTCCGATACAACACGGACGTCTACCGTTCCTATTCATTCAATTCACACTTTAAATTTGGTAACGTGATTTAACACAACGAGTGTGGACATACCTCCGAGAAAACATTGTATGTGTCAAATATGTGTAGGGTGAGTGAAATTGTTTTCTTTAACAGCGCTTTAAACATTTTTCTAAATTATCACGGCATGCCTGCTTTATGTTGGAAGACATAGGTATGTTGTTGACAGGGGAAAAGATCAGGCTTAAGATATAAGGGATACAACTCTGCACAGCAAACCCGCCGCCTGACACCCGGGCACCCTTGCCGAACTAAAGTAGACAAAACGTGTATCAGAACATCATTCATATTATATTATTTACTACTGTGATAGTATTGCAACGAGCCCGGGTGTGCCTTAAGTTGTCAATTGCGAGTATGATGGTGTGTGTGTGTGTGTGTGTGTGTGTGCGTGCGTGCGTCCGTGCGTGCGTGCGTGCGTGCGTGTGTGCGTGCGTGCGTGTGTATGTGTGTGAGTGTGTGTCCTTGACATCCTGTATGACAAGTTGTAGATTGTTCCTATGTTTAATACGCTCCTAAATGTTTTGGTCAAAGGTCATAGATTCCCACATTAGCGTGTATTCATTGGTTCAGTAATATAACTGGATTCAGCGTGGGCTGTTTAGTGTAGATCAGCTACTTTGGTAAGGATGTGTTTAGTGACACCTGGCGAGGAGATCCACTTTGCTGTGCAGTGACCCACAGTCCATTTCCTGTGTACGCTGAGTATTTGTTGACCTTGCCTGTTTCGATGCACTGCAATGAATAGCTATCAGATTTAGTTTATATTCTTGAAAGTTCTTAGACATAAAATCTGTTTAATAAATTTACCACACGTTATAAGTACAAGCTTTGGCATTGATGATAAGTAGCTTTTCGAACTTGGTTATTGTAGATAAACCATCATGTAACCACCGTTCCGAAACAATGCTATCACACATGTTAATCTGCACTCCGCGTGGTGGTACAGTAGTTATGTAAAACGTCCATTTCCTTCTGAAGTCCGATTACAGAATCGTCAAATACACACAGGTCATCTGCATACAATAATGATAGCAATTCTACCAAATCAGCTCCTCGTAAATCGGCGTTTTGCATTACCATGTGCAACTCAGAGATAGGCATTTGAAGAGGAGGGGGGGCGCTTAGTACACATCCTTGCTTGACTCTACTTAGACACTCGACTTAGTCCCCGACTGATGTGTGAGTTGCTCTTACGGCAGTCATGATCTTAGAATACATATTCTTCATCAAATTAACTAATCGTCAACGATTATCGTTTTCATCAATGCATACCAGAGAAGTTTTGTATTAAGAGTCAAAGGCTTTCCCCCAATCCTCCTAAAATAGGCAATAAATAGGTACTGAATTAAGTACTGTGAATATTTTAATATAATGCCAGCTGTACAGTAACCTTTTCTAAATCCTGCTTGAGCTTCCGGCATCATCTCATCTATATTTGCAAAAGGTTGAAGACGTTCATTAAGAATTGTCTTATTGTGTCTCATAAGCCTTATGGGTGGACGTTACGTTTAGATTATGTTCAATTGTTGTATATACACAGTTTATGTAACGTATGACACATAAATATCATAAATAAACTCAAAGATTTTCAAATGGTACACTGTGTGTTGACACCTTACCTGCTGAACATAAGGTAAGTTTATGCGAGCCGTATGTGCACGCACAGCTGAGGGGTCTCTCAAGAGAAGTCCATGTTTAATGACAGAACGTTCATGCATCTTTACTGCCATTTATTTTGAAGGAAAGTTCTACCAGTTTGAAAGTCTGCCTTCGGAACTATTGTACGTGAAATGCCGAAGCATACTATCCCAGAAAATCAAAGATTGCTGATATCACTGACATGCACCAAACGGGCATTGAACATCAGTCATACTGTAATCAGTCGACTCATTAGAAAAGTTACATTGACTGGGCATGTGAGGGACTTGCCCATAATTTGTCATTACCCATCTACATCCGTGTACGCATAAGGATTATACATTTGGGTTTTGAATGTAATGAACCTACTCGCTTTCCCCTTTCCTCTAGACATATGATATATATTATATTTCATTCGTTGGTGTTGTTAAGTTAGGAACATGAACTTTGTGATTAAAGAGTGTGCAATACACTAATACAGTATTGAACATACTTCATACAAATTATGCATAAACAGTAGCATGTAATATTTCCGTCTCATTTGTGATTGAACTTACAGCGAAGACACCACGTGTTTCGGAAATTTGATATATTGCACATAATCAATATGATATGGATTTCGTTACGTAGGCATACAGAATAGGTTCATTTGTTTCAGAATAAAAGCGACAAAACCCTTTCCACATTCATAATAATTGAAATAAAGAAGAAATGAAATGTGTCGGGAATGCAACACATCCACAACATTCCTAACATATATATCAGTTATGATTGTCACTTTTTCGTTTCCGTTGTTTTCTCATAATCGGCCGCTTAGGGTCATACTGAACTGTACGCGTGTGTACGTGTTTTCATGACGTTACACATGTAGCGTGTGCACTTGTGCACATGTGAATCAGTGGAATAAATCTTCAGTGAAAGCATGTTTTTTTTCATTTAGACTGGCGTATAAACTGAAAGTGTATTAATTGATCCATACTTGAATATGCTACTCAAATTTTGCCAAGGATCAGGTTTTGATGATATCAAATCATCCAACAAATAAAGATTGAAATATCCCGGTACATAATTATTTGGTCACCCCTCATGATGTACGAGCAGAGGCATGCTCATGGGCACCATGTGCACGAGGTGCTTGAATATCTGAGTTTGGATGAATTGTGACGGAATCGCTGCACATAGTTATCAGAGAGCACAACATCATTTGCTACCTCAGCGTCAAAGACGTCTTTTGACCACTAAAGAATTAGGCAGATGCATAGGCATGCTTGGAACTGGGTCAACACAATTTCATGTTGGAAATTGTTATGTGATCAACAGGGCATGGAATCGATACCAGGCGTTTGGATCAGCTGTCGTGACAGCCACCCCCTTACAAATGAGAGGCGTTAACCTTTCAACTTACTGCGTATTCGTCTCTGCGAGACAGGTCCCCGATAACGGCGGGCATGCAGTCGCGTTTGGATTGGGCTGAAGATCATGCTAATTGGACAGTTCAGGCCTGGGCTCTAGTAGTTTTCCCTGATGATTCGAGATACTGCCTAGACTTCACAGATCGTCGTCGTGCCCGAGTGTGGTGTAAGCAAGGAGAAAGATTTCAGGATTCCAACGTAACCGAACAGGACCGCTGGGGGGTGGTTCAATTAAGATTTGGGGTGGGATCAGTAGAGCTGGAAGAATCGATCTGAGGCGTGAGATGGCTACTTTAACTTTCTGTTTATTTCAGCATGAGTATGGGTTTCTTTGTGATTTTTTGTTGAATTTGTATTGCCCTCGGTCGATCTTACTTGCGTCCGACTGGGCTTGCCACCTGTGGGCTATGGTGGCTTTGATTTTGATTTTATCTCTAGTTTACTGACGAGAATAGCGTGCATGCATCACCGTCTTGTCTAGAGCTAGCTTTGCCAGTGTGCCTGCTTTTTCATAGTCATGAATGTCTATGTAAGATGGGATCCAGCACAGCTCCACCTGTTTCCCTTGGTTCGATAGTTTTGTATAATCGTATATAATATTATTGGCTGTCTTTGGCCAAGAGTTTGAGTTTCTGCTGATGACCGCTTGTAGTGCACTTAGCGAGTTTCATGGGATGACCGCCTTTGCTTCCGGTAGTTCCGGTGTGACTTTGAGTGAATGATGACTTGCCTCCAAATAAGAAGTGAATACTGACTGACCGTCAGGCAGGCGGATCTAATGTCCCACGTTTGGAGTTATGGATATGGATCCATTAACTATAGCAGTGTTGTCAGTGTATAAATGGGCCCAGCTGATGTGAAGTAGTGTTTGGAGTTTTATTAAAGTCCAGGGAGGGTGAAACCGTTTGAAGTGACTTTTTTAAGTGATTTCTGATGAGTTCACGTACTTATATCCAAGATGCCTTTGTTGGGAAGTGTCTTGAGCAGCCTCGACAGAATACACAACAAAGCCCTTATGCTAGCCACAGGTGCAGGCCTCACAACCATAGCCCATTTTTTTATCTGATTAGTGAATTGTAGAGGTCCAGCTGAGTGTCTATAGAGGTACCCCGAGACGTGCCTGAAATTGCCCGCAGTCTGTTTTCAACATATTCTATATGTTTGCTCCGTGTTAGGTGATGATCTTGGATCACGCCAATAAATTTTGAAGATTTTTTAAAGTTGATTGCCATTTACGGAGAGACGGGGTATTATATCGTCTTTCCCCCTGCGTTTGGGGTAGGTGAGCTGAAATGATCAAATAGATCCCTCATCATGATGTTGAACAGGGTTGGGCCTTATTATGCTGCCTTGTGTCGTGCTGTTATCCAATGACGTAGGATCAGATTGATTTTTCCCTATTTTAACTGATAGTGACCTGTCTTGCAGGAAACTGTCTATGACTTGTGCCATGTTCTTTTCTACTTTATTTTGTGCTTGCTTGGTTAGGAGTCCATCATGTCACACCATGTCGAAGGCTTTACTGGAGTCCAGAGAAATACTGCT